TGCCAAGAAGACCGGCACAACCACACTCTTCCCAGATGGAAGCAGACAAGAGACAAGCAACAAACCTGCTCTTAATTAAACATTTGTCTTGCAATTACATACTTCTGTGTAATTATCACCATCAAGGCAAACACCAACTGGATCACACCGAGAGGAGACAGACGGTGAAGGTTAATGGGTCCTTCTCTCCCTTCGCAATTATTCCCGAGATCTGGCAGAGGGAAGGGCAGGACGTCCAGAATGCTGCTGCCACTACAAAGGAGGAACAAGCCCATTCAAGGAACAATCAGCCTGAACTAGCAGACTCTGAGATCACATGTCTGAGAGGATGGGTGATGACTTCTTTGAGGTCTTGCTCCAGGCTCGAGCACAGCCCACTCCAGTGGTTGTGCATCACTCCCATGTTTTATCACCCTCAAGCTCCACGAGGAATAACTTGAACCCACTGTTAAAGGTTCCACATCTCTTTCTACATTAAGTAACCCAAATTCCCTTTCATCACACCTTCATAGTCATCCTCACTTCCAGCTTCTGGCTTCTCTTTAATCAGCCCTAACAGGCAACCAGGACCTCACAGAGAAAGGCTCCAAGCTGAGTCCACGCCTGTGGTTGGTAGGTAGACTGACTGCTTTCCATTTCTAACATAAGAACTTGGTAAACTCAGGTTTTATATGTATTTATTGGCTTACTTTGCAATAGCTTCAAGAATGGATTGCTACTTTAACCTGCGCTCTGCTGTGACCATCAGGTCTCCTATGACCTACCACTGCCAGCCAGCCCATTCCCAACCTTCCCCAGTTTCTGCTTCCGTGGATATCTCTGCCTGTCATCACCCCAGGACTGGCACAAGGAGAAGGGGAGGCAGCATTTAGATGCATGAAGCAGGGATGTCTGGAAATTGGATTTTAACAAAATTCACCAACACAGCACCTTGAACCTGTGGATAATCCATCACATCCAGCTGTAACTGAGAAGAAAGGGACACCCAGATATCACCCATGAGTAACTAGACAGGGATTTAACACCCTTATGCTGCCATAGTGTGTATTGTAGCAACCCTGTCAGTATTCCTGACATTCCCACGCAGCTGTGACATGGCTGAAGGCATCACAAAAAACCCCCAGACTATTAAAACAAAGAGGGAAATATGGATTATTAAATCAAACATTTGAATAAATCTCAGACTTGCACAACAACCAAGCCACGTTGAGTCACTGCCACCACCCCAAAATGAGCCTTCCAGAAGCAAGGTTATCCTCTGAACGAATAATTTTGCTGCTTTAAAAGCAAAGGTTGCAGGGAGCAGCAACCCCAGAGCATTCCCAAAGGTTAATCTGATGTGCTGAGCCACAGCTGAATTATTGATGATTAGTGGGGCAGTTTCTATCGAGGAATGAGCCCACAGGTAGGGACTACTATGCCAGAAAATCCTTCAAGCCAGCACGGCTCATGTCCGTGAAGAAGCTCATCCAACTCCTGGCCTGCTTGGGCCACAGGGAAATTAAATTATTTAGGTTTCTCAGCTGCTGCATAAATGCCAAACGTAAAACATTAGCTCATAATTGAAACGCTGCCGCTCAGCACAGGGCAGGAGAAGCTGCATCAGCAGGGCTGAGTGAGTTGAGGCTGGCCAGCACAGAGAGGTAGGTGGGAACAAATTCGCCCTGAAATCTGGGAAAAAGGAAAGTAACAAAGGAAAAAAGGCAAACCGCGGAATGGACCAATCCACAGAAGTTACACTGATCATGAAACAGCCTTAAATTAAAGCCAGGAGAGCCCAAGCAGCTTCAGTTCACAAAGTGACATAAAGGCCTGGACTCATCATCACTTATTAATCTCACATCAATTAAATAAGATGCACTACTGAACTGGGATAGCAAAAAAATTAAAGCCATTGTGTTGCTATTCCACCCTGTGATATTCCACTGGTTTATCTGCGTTGAGTAAATCCATGGAGAATTGAGGAAATGGGAAAACCAGTTTTCTGGTGCAGTTCTCCATCTGAGGAAGGTGAGGCTACGACCTGATACATCAAAGTGCAAATACAATTATCTGGTTTCAACTAAAGCTTTGCAAAATACTGAGTTTTATTCAGCTTTGAAAGCAACACATGTAGGGATAAACTTGTTCCACGTTTCTGTCTTTACATATAAAATACTTAATTGCCTCTGCCTATACACAAACCCAACCATTTTTAAAGCTGTTCTGCTTAAACAAGTTTTTCTGCATTTTAATTGCATCCCAATTCCCAGAAAATTCTGTGTGACAGAAAAAAAAAAATTAAAAAATCAACCATTTAATTAGCAAGCACCATTGTTTCTGTGCTTTGCCATGGAAAAGGGTTAGCATTTAAAGCTAATTATGAGGATATTAAGCTGCTTAAATATATATCATCTTGTCTGTGACACACAAAGACTCCAAATTTCACAGGCTCGGGAAGGCAAGCAGACCTGTGACTGCAATCCCTGTGGTTTTGTCTGGATTACTCAGTCCCATGAGGCATAGCAAGCACCATCCTAGGAAAAAAGGCTTTAAGATTTTTAAATTAAGAGAACAATTCAGATGGTCATCTGATAAAATCACGTAGGGGAGAGAAACCTTTCTCAGCTGGGAGGCTCCCCTGTCAAGGACCTCGACATCAATTACTTTCTTTACCACCCAGTTCCTTTACTCAGTTACTCTGCTCAGTATTAGCTCCCTGTAAGCAAAGACCTGTGAATGACAGGAAATGCTCCTTTTCTCTTCCTCCTCATGGCTACTATGAAAGGGAACATGTGCTCTCACAGATGGAAATCACTGCCGCCTGAAACAACATGCAGCGCTAAATACTCAGGGGTGCCAGCGCTCTGAGCATTGATTTCAACAGATAATTATTTCCATTAGTTCCCCTTCAAAAGAAGAATTAAGGAGAAAGAAGAAATGCCTTTTTTTTTTTTCTTAAAATTATTTTTAACCAACAAAACAGCAAAGCAACAGGAACAAAGAGGATTTTAAGAAAGCAGCTTGGTTTTGACACAACTTTTCAGAGGCACAAAACCCAGGTCCCCTGGGATGTGTGAGGCCTTTCCTCTCCCAGACAGCACAGTCCCGTGGCTCATCAGTCCTGCTCCTGCCAGGCTTGAGCAACGTTGCTGTCTCGCTGTCAAACAGCATCTCTCCCACTCCACAACCCACACGCCGTGCACAAGGCAAGAGGAGTCAGTTTGATTTTGGACCAACAAGGCCAGATTTAACAGACGCCTCTTTCATCTCTGCCCAAGACGTTCACCACATCAAATCACTGCCGACACTGGGCTCCCTGTTTCACCTAGACCAGGCCAGGAGGTAACCTTGCTCACCAGATACATATTCATCAACCATGTCTCCTGTTCTTCACAGGGATGAGGCCAAGAACTGAGCTGTGTCCCGAGGAAACAGATTAAGGCTGTGGGAAGACAATTCCTTCCTTGTACATCAGGCAATCAAGTTTGTGTTTCCTCAGCTCTATCTCGTTTCCAGAGGCTGAAATGGCAGCAAAGCTGGTTGGCAGAGCACGAGCCAGTGCTGGGAAGCTGCTGTATTTGGGAGGAATACCACGTTAAACCATCTGGCAGGGCTGCCTCAAACACCTACTGGTGTTCACTGCCCACTGCCTGCTGGTGAATGACACAGGGAGCACTGGCCAGAGAGAAATAAGTAAAAGTACAGCAGAAAACAGCCGTATTTTGAGGCAACTCACGGAGTTCTCTCCCCAAAACGCTTTGGGAACACCAAAAAACTCACTCAAGAGAAGAGACAGGAGCTCACTGAGCCCCTGGGACGGCTGGGAATGGCTTTCCCAGCTCAAAAGTCAGCACGGACTTTCGGAGGAAGAAAGGTGGAAAGGCACAGTGAGTGACCACAACCCATGGGCAGACCTCCTCGGGAGAAGTGAAACAAAAGAAAACAAGAGAAAACGTTCTGTTAGGACAGGGAATTAAAACAACGAGCACATTTGCGAGAATATGCCCGAGGGAAAATAGTTTAGAAAATTAAAAAACTCCATAGTAACAGACTGAAAGCTGTTAAACAACATCTAATTAAGCACAAACTGCAATCCCCACCACAAAACAGAAGGAGGAGGTAAAAAAAAAGTCACGCAGCAATCAAACTGACCCAGACCAAAACAAGCACTAAGAAAATAAAAATAAAAAACCCCAAACTGTTCAGTGATACCTGAACAGAAAAAAAACTTCTGATGAAACTCTCAGGACTTTACAGTGAACAGGCAAAGCCAAGGTTATGTTGTATATCACCAGGTTTTTGATTTTTAATATCCAACAGAAGGAAAAAGCAATCCCAAGGATCCCAGCCTCCACCTAAGTATAAAAAAACCACTGTCAGCAGGAAACACCCATTGGATTGTGGTGAACACCATTATATGATTTCATCTTGATTCAGCAAGGAAATTCAAATGTTTTGAGAACAGCGAGTTTTAATCATTAAGGACAGGTCTCACAGGATCCCAGAATGGTTTGTGTTGGAAGGGACCTTAAAGCCCACCTCATTTCAGCCCCTGCCATGGGCAGGGACATCTTCCACTAGACCAGGTTGCTCCAAGCCCTGTCCAACATGGCCTTGATCATCTTCCCCAATCATACTTCTAATCAAAACATCAGATGCCTGTCTCCCAGCCTTGTTTGCCCATCATCAAGCTCCTTTTCAAGGCTGCCATAAGTGTTCCACACATGGGACCTCTCCTTACAAAGGAAAGGGCTCACTTTTCACTTGGACGTGGTTCCTCTGGGCCCAGCCGAGGCTCTTCTTGCTTCTTCCCCACAACTTTCAAAGTTAAAGCTACACAGTCACAAAGTAAATGGCACAGGAAGAAAAGTCAACCTGCTGACGCAAAAAAACTCCAAAGCATACAATTAGAATAATAATAAGAAATATTAAAAAAAGGAAATCTGGAAATTGGTTAGAGGCATTAAAAGAAAAAAAAAAAAAAAACCACAACAAATGCTTCCTTTGAGTAGCTCCAGAGTCTTTAATACAATCTCCAAGTCATAAGCACAAAAGGAAAATTATTAATATACAGAGAACTTAACTTTCATGTTCTGACATGAAAATGTGATTAAAGCTGTCTGTAAACAGTTTGCTTTATGGTTCGAATTTGAAACTTACCAAAAGAAAGCAGTTTCCCATAACTTTTCAAAACAAATCTCAAATACCTCGAGGCCATTTGATACTGCCCCCCTTTCCTCGCTCCTGGCTTTCAGAAAATAAGAGAGCTGGAGAGGGGTGCACAAATACAGAAGGTCTCTCTTTTGGGCAGGCAGACCATGGGAAGAGTTAGCAGATGATGTAGTGGACCAGTTTTCCGCTACGGACTTCTCTCAGCCTGTGGCAGTGCCTCAGGATGCTCAGGATGTTGTGGAAGCGCTTGTCCAACGTCAGCTGGGTGAACGCCTTGATATCAGCATCCACAATAAAGAATTCACCTGGAAAACAAATGATGGTTTTGCCAGAGAAAGGACAGGACACACTTAACGTTTCGCGAGTGACACCACCACCTTTTCCTAACAATTCCACACGCTGATGGAAAAGCTACAATCAACAGCAGGAAGGCCTCACGCTACCTTAGGAACTTCGTTCTGCTTTATAAATTCGCCATCAGAAAGAGAATTACCAGCCCTCCCATGAGGTTCAGACACCCTGCATTATCCTCAGGCCCCACTCAGTGAGCTCTGTCTCCCAGCAGGAACTCAAGTTCTGGAATTGGCTCTTTCCAAAGAGGAGGACAGAGCCCTGCATACGTCAGAGCTACGCAGCCCACCATTCCCTCGACTTCCATCCGATTTGGAAAAGAGTAATTCATCATTACTTAAGGAAATGCAAGAGAAAGACCAACCAATTGTAGCAGCATCCTCCCTGTGTCTCTAAGAAAATGGCACAGGAAGGTCCTGCATCAGACAGAGCTGGCGGCTCACGTCATCTTGTAGCTGATTAACTAATTCCATAAGGAAATTCTCATTGCAATTCAGGCTGCCCAGGGCAGTGGTGGAGTCATCATCCCTGGAAGTGTTCAGAAAATGTGAGGACGTGGCACCTGAGGACGTGTTTTAGTGGTGAAGATGGTGCTGGGTTGGTGGTTGGAATTTGTGATCTTTTAGAGGCCTGTTCCAACCTAAATGACTCCACGATTCTAAGCGTGTGTATTATCTAAGTATATTCCATGGCTGTGATTTCATACTCAGTCTTTACCCACTGCTCAGATAGGAGATAATTACAGGTAAAAAGACTGAATATTTAATGCTTCCTGCAACATGGCACAAGGTTTTGACCACGTATCTCCACAAAACTGTAAGAAAGAAAAGCAGTCTGAAACCAGGGATGTGCTAATTGAGGTACAAAGAAATGTCCAATTAGCTTTAAGAGGGGAGGTAGAAGGAAGCACTTCCAAGTCTAATGAGAAGGAACACACAAGAGTAGGGGTGTTTTAGCTTGGAAAAATAAGATAGCTTTCTCCCTCCTCAATTTATCCTTTAAGGCAGAGGCTGTGACACCTAAGACACCAGAAAGAAGAGATGCTCTATTAAAGTTATTAGAGGGTCCTTAGAGTTTAACTGGAGAGAATATAGCTGATGCAAGCTGGAAAGCTGAAGCTGCCAGTGAAGGACTAAGGTCACAGAGTATTTATAAGCATAATGCTCCCCAAAATATCCTTATCCAGAGCGGAAGAATAACGGGTCGTGTTTTCTCACAGACTGGTCCACTTTGAGAGCTGGTGACACTTGTCTAATAGAAAGTAGAATCTTCCAGAGACAACAGCTGTCAAAATCTAGATCTCTCCCAAACAGGAAACTATGCTGGAATCTCAGAGCTTGTAACACCACTGAACTCCCATGCAGACAAGAAGTGTGAAGTTTGTTTACCAGGAAAAGAAGAAAACCTGCATAACTGCTTAAAATACAAGTACCATTGGATGGAGACCACTTACAAGTTCCAGTAACAGGGCATTAAACCCAAAGTGTTAGGAGCCCAGGGATAACCTGCACACTGGTCAGTCTATCAGGGGAACACCAGAATGTCCTGAATTTTGGTAAGATTTCTTCTTATATTTGCCCAGAATTCAGGGCAGCAATGTTCAGCATAGCAGGATCCTTTTATGAAGAAACCAGAGCTGGATGAAGGGTGGTGGTTTGGTCCACGCACTAAACAACTAAACTAAACTACCTGAATCACCTTACTGGCTGCAAGTTACTCTGGTAAACCAGGCAGCATCTTTCCTCATCTTGAAATCAGAGAACAGGTCAGCTGGCAATCAGCCCAGGCTGGGAAACTCTGGGAATTCTAAGCAGAGGGTCACTCACAGTAGAGATTTAAGCAAACAAATCAATGAATGCACAACCTCATCCTGCAAAATGCAATGGATAAAGACATTTAATCATTTTGTGCTGGCCAGATAAGAACTGTCTGACAGCCTGCCAGACCTTTTCTCTAGACTTTCTGGATGATTAGTCACGAAAAAAACCCCTAAACAAAACAACCTACCACACAAACACACACACTCTATCAGATGCTGAATGTCCAACTGTCCAGCATAAACAGGAAAATAAGACTGTCTCTCAGGTGCTAGAAGAAATGAAACACCTCAATCTTTCAGATTTAAAACCCCCACATTTCTGCCAGAAATTTCTGACTAGCTGTAGCTTTCTCAAGTTGCTGGGAAGGGTTCTTCACTGCAGTCAAGGCTCCTGTGGATCATGGAGCAGCATTCCAGGCCTAGGGGGTCTCCTTCCTAATGTTTAGCCTGTCCTCAATAACCATGGTCTCAAACCCCTTACTGTAGTCCAAAGGACAGGAACAGTTAAACCAAAAGTATGCTGCAAATTAAGAGTGATGAAGAAGGTATTTTAAGAAATCCCAGATTAATATAAGCCGTTATTAGACTGAGGCAAAACATTTCTAGAGAAACTAAACCATCGGAGCCCCTATCGGAAGCCAGCCAATGAAGGTACCCAGCTGCATGTGTTCAGTATGATTGCAGTACAGTCCTTTAAACACTGACCTCTGCATGACAGGTGAGACCCCACCTGGAGTCCTGTGTCCAGCCCTGGGACTGCAATATAACAAAGATGTGGAGCTGCTGGAGCCAGCCCAGAGGAGGCCACGGAGATGCTGCCAGGGCTGGAGCCCCTCTGCTCTGGAGCCGGGCTGGGAGAGCTGGGGGGGTTCACCTGGAGAAGAGAAGGCTCCAGGGAGACCTGAGAGCCCCTTGCAGGGCCTAAAGGGGCTCCAGGAGAGCTGGGGAGGGACTGGGGACAAGGGATGGAGGGACAGGACACAGGGAATGGCTTCCCACTGCCAGAGGGCAGGGACAGATGGGATATTGGGAAGGCATTGCTGTCTGTGAGGGTGGGCAGGCCCTGGCACAGGTTGGCCAGAGAAGCTGTGGCTGCCCCTGGATCCCTGGAAGTGTCCAAGGCCAGGTTGGACGGGGCTGGGAGCAACCTGGTCTAGTGGAAGGTGTCCCTGCCCGTGGCAGGGGGGTGGAATGAGATGATCATGAAGGCCCTTTCCAACCCAAACTGGTCCATGATCCTATGCCTATCCTATAGGCCTCAAAATAAAGTGACAGGCAGGTCCATCAGACCAGAGCTCCTTCCCTACAGAAAAGCTGCATTTAGAATCCAGAAGCGAGTGATGTAATCACCATACTGTAACACTGAGAGTCTTGAACAGCAACAAAATCTAAGCAAGAACAAGTTGCAGTTTGTCATAAAGTGCCTCCTGAGTACACAGTGAGCGCTCAGGGCAGAATGTTCTCACATTCTGTCCAGGCCAGAAACAGGGAGGTGGGTGCCAAGGTGTTGTCAGAGAAAGTTCTTTTTTCCGTGAGACAGAACAGAGTTTGCTCCACTCTTTATGTCTGAACTTGGAAGCGTGAGGGCATTCTGAGGGCATGGCCAAGCTCGGCATGTGCAGTACACCCCTCCAGGAACTATTACATACTTGTTCTCAGAAGGAAAGGAATGTCAAAAAGGAGATTTTAATATCAGAGATTTGCTGTGCCACATATTTTTGGAAAAGCTAACCTGCAAGTACAACTTCCTTTTCAATTGAGGGCAAGGTATTTTGATTGATTTTCACTCCCTCTATGCTTTTAAGAGAAGAAAACTTCTTAAGATTATCAGACGGACCTGTCTCTCCCACAGAGCCAGTGCAGCACGATTGATTAGCCAGACTTCCCAACTTCAGAGCAAATTTTTAATAGTTCGTGTCCATCCTAGCTTAAAAACTGAAAACACAGTTCATAGGTTTTGTTTATCAAACTGGGAGTTTCCAGAACTTGTAGTGATTCCAAACTAAATCTTTGTGCACGCGAAGTTTCTGCCACGACACACCATGGAAATGACGTGTTTTCAGTGAAAACACACAAAAAGGGACCAAGTCAGTTATGGGATAACTCTTTAGTCAAAAATACTGGAAAAAAAGTTCAGTATTATCATACTTGTGCTGCAGCATCCAAGTGTTACTAATTAGGTACTAAAAAAGGGGGAGGGGGGGGGAGAAATACCTTTTGTATCCTTAGTTTCTTCTTCTATGAACCTGCTGTAGAGGTTTCTGGCAGTAAAGGTCATAGATTTCAGAGGCCGATGCATGATCTTGTACTTGCCCACGACGGCCTTGTTGATCTCTTCAATAACTGCATTAATCTGATTGTATCCTAAGCGACCTTTCAGATACCTACAGATGGAAAATAAAAACCAGTAACCAGAAAGTCGCAAAGTTCCTTGTTTATTTCTCTCTTTCATCAGCCTTAACTGAACAAGCCATTCCTAGTTAGAGGCAGTTTCTCCTGCTTTGTGTTAATGAACAAATGTAGTAGTTAATTCTGTTCATTTCCTTGATGGTTTTACAATCTTAAAGGTAAAAAAGACATGACAAATCCTAAACCAGAAATGTGAAATAGTAGAAAGCTAAATGAAGAAGTGAAATATATCCAGTGTTTAAGCTGTACAAAGCCTTTCAAAATGGAATAAAGGTTGCTTTTATAGCATTCCACTTAAACTACAAACACAGAAAAATCAAGTAACTTTGCAGAAAACATGGCATGATGTTTGCCTAAGAGCACAGTTTGGGTCATATTATCATCACAAATAACCTGTGTTTGATCTCACATCCTTTTATTTGGTGGGTTTTTTTGAAGAATTACCAGTTTTGTGTTGTCTTCTGTATTTCACTGTGCAGCCTACTGAGCTGTACAGACAGTGTTCTGCACCAGTAAGATCCACTTTTGAACTTTCAGAGCATTTCATAAAACCAGTACTAGAAGAATAAGATCTGTTGATAACAGCCTGGAGGTACAGGAAGCACAGAAGATAAAACCAAAGCCATGTGGAAAAAAACTAGAACACTGGGATAATTTGCAAGTAAGGCTATTCAGTATTTAGAGATATAAAGGCATGCCTTTAAGGAAAAGGAACAGTGCTGCAAACTGAGAAGCCATTATATAAAAATGAAATTTGAAACTGAAATAACAACACAACCCCTCCCAAAAACATGGCAGTAAAAGCCAGGCCAACCTGCGCTATCCTGTGACCATCACTCCGTTGCTGCAGCAAACCAAATGCCTTTGGAAAACATACAGAGAATGAATTTAAAGCAGAAGTGGCTAATCAATTACAAGTTCAATATTCCAAATCAGAAGGTGGGCAGGATTCTTTTTTTACCACTGCCAACTAAAAATAAGTGTTTGCTGTAGACTTCAATAACAGCCAGTCCCTGCTGCCAGGTCCACACAAGGTGTGTAAAACCTCCTGAATTCAAAGTAACTGCTCTTATTTCAGACCAAGTCTGAAATTTAGTTGCCGTGAAGTTACTGGCGGCTGACTTTCAACTTCATTGATACTTCTTAGATTAATCCAAAGTTGGAGGTGCGGCCATTTTTTAATTGTAAAAACGATCTATTTTGCACTACCACCCCTGAGACGCAGCCACAGCACAAACAACACAGCCTACAACCACAGGAAGGCTTTGCCTGTACGCATTAACTGCTCTTTATTGCTCTGTCTGCCTCCCTCAGACACAGGGGAATGTGCAGAGCTATGAAGGCCGAGCCCAGAGGTGCAGAATACCCGTGTTTAAATTCCTGTGCTCCCGCTACCAACAGACACACAGTGAACACACTTAATAAAGCCAAGGGAGCACCTCAACCCATCCTGAAGCTGAAACAGAGAAGCAGGATTGGGTTGCCTAAACCTAAGAAACGAGGGCTCCAAGAGGCCCTCAGGCACCCAAGTCTGAAATCAAATGCTCTCAAAACCGAGCGGAATTTTTATTCTGTGAATAACTAAGGATCATAAAAACTCCAGCTGTTCCACAGACCCCTCGTGTTTCTACCCAACCATGGGTGGAAAACCTGTCAATGCTGACATTCATTTCAGTCCATACATACACTAATATAAAAATACAAAGTCGAGAAGTTCCAAATCCAGTCGTTTAATTCAGATTTAAAATAACTTTAAAATCCGCTTCACTATTCCAAAAGCAGTAAAAACAAGTGACCCAATTTCGTCTTCTAATCCACAGAAGCCCTTTTTCGAAACATTCTTTTCCATAGGTATGAAAACCAAAGCACAGTGGTGTGTTCCTCAGAGAAAAGGAGCGCATCAGTGTATATCTTATATAGCACACTAAAAGAGATAAACCTCTTAATGGCCACCACCTGCTCCCTCAAAAATGCTTAGGCTAAAGGAAACATATTCCCTCAAGTTAACCATCCTCTGGAGCTCGAGATTCATAATGAACGTGCAGATTCTAAAATATTTTAAGCAGTAAACATTTTAGAAAGGAGTAAGAATTTTAGACACAGAATATAGAAAGCATTTCCCTTTGCCCTGAACTCAGCGTTAACTGAGACGGATACTGTGAAATTTCCTTTCTCTTCCTCAAAAATTATGCCTTTCTGGAACAGATTTGAAGGGTAAGATAATTTGCAAGTCTCTGACCACAGAATAGAATGGCGCGATTGTTTGGGTTGGAAAGAACCTTTTAAGATCATCGAGTCCAACCGTGATCCTATGTCAGAACCAGTGCTGACCTGGAGAACTGGGATCTGAACCTAATCCTCGCTCTTCCAAGGAAATACGTGTTTGGTGTAAGAAAATTTGGGTCACAAATATCTGCTGCTTAGATTTGATCAAACAGTACGCGAAATCACAAGTACTCCCTCAATCTTGTACTACAACATTGCCAGGCAACAGTGGTACTGGTAGATTAATAGATCTATGTAAATTCATGTAAATCTTCCTCCACAGAACAAACATGCTTTTCCCAGCTGAATAAAATTATTTCTAGAGCTCCACCAGCACAGTCTAAGATGTAACCTCTCTGTAAACCTGCAGTGGATAAGGAAAGGCTCCATCTGGCCTCTGTCCCCACCCTCTGTGTCCATGAACAGCAGTGGAAATTCTTCTATTTTCAAGGATGATCACCGAATCCTGCAGGTTGGAAAAGCCCTCTGAGATCATCAAGTCCAACCCTTCCCCCAGCACTGCCAAGGCCACCACTAACCCAAGTCCCCCAAGTGCCACAACTACCTGCCTCGTGACGTGGAAGAGCACAGCTTTAACTGGAAGTTAAAACAATATTTATTTGGAATGGTCTGTGTCTACTTCTCTTGCCAGAGCAGAGATAAACACCAAAGATTCCCATGCTCCAGCTTTACCCTTCCATTATTTTATCAGGGGAGAACTACCTAAGGGAGTAAATACAAAAAATAATAGAGGTGATCTGCAGAATAAAAGCACCAGGTGCATGCTCTTTTATGAAGTAACCAGAAGTCCTTTATCATCAGCTCAACATTCAGGATAAAAAAGAAAATACACACGGCTCACCTGAAAATTTTGAAAGCTATTGGAAAAATTGTTGGAAAGCCTCAAGTAAAATACAGACTCAGAAACATATTTCATATTGAAACGGGTATTGTTAGGGAACACACTGAATCTAGAGCCTCAATAACAATTTAGCCTTAGGCATCAAGAGAAATTTCTCCTTTTTTGCAGAAATATTTATCCTTGCCCCCAAAAAGCCATTTAAGAAAAGTTACTCCCATGTGACAGACTTCAGACAAGGATATCCATTAATCAGGTCCCAATGTTAGGGAAAAATACCCACAGCTTTCTATTGAATCTGAGAATTTCAGTGCAAAGTGTTATTTCCTTGAAACAAGTCTGATTTTCTTTGTTGTCTGAAAACAGATTGAAATCAAGAATTGAAGTTTCCAGAAACCAATACCTGGGTCAAATAAAACCCGCATTTATGATTCTTTTTCCTTCCAGCTGTAAACAAACCTTTCATCTTATGAGATGATGGCTCTTTTTTTTTTTTTTTTTTTTTTGGTCAGTTCTCAAAACAAGAAGAGAATTCACCTGTAAGCCAATAAATTTCTGTTCATACAATTACAGTGACTTTTGCAGTAAGAGGTTTGGGGTTTACCTGATTAGTTCTGATCTTCCCAATAAAAGGCAAGACACTAATAATTTCATTTTCAGGTTTGCCAGTGCTGCATTTCAACTATTTGGAGCTATTACCATGATGTTTCACCCTGTGCCATATTTAAAGTTTCAAGCCATCTCTGTCAGTCCCAGTTCTGCAGGAGGTCACTTTCCCAAACCTGTGTTTGCCACCCAAACTGACATGACAGGGTGTAAGGAAAGCCACGCTTACTTACGCAGGAACAAGTGCAAATTCTTCTGCCGTTATTAATGCCATGTTTTTAATGACTCTTTTCGCTTTTGCAGGTTGCTTGGCAGGTTCAGGTTTCTTGGCATGTTCAGGTCTCTTGGCAGGTTCAGGTTCTGCCACTTTCATTTGTTCTTCGTGTTTCACAGTTGGCACAGGGACGCTGCGAAATGAATGAATATCAAGTGTATAAATGGCAGATAAGTAGTGAGGAGAATTCCACTACGTTATCAAGTCTGCTTACTCACAGATGTAAATCCTAATCCACCTGTTAAGAGGGATGAACACAATTAATGACATTCCACAAAACAAAAGCAAACACAGCAAGCCCACTCCCATTTCAAACTGCATCCTTCAGGTGACTTCATCACAGCTCTTGGTTTCTCTGCTCCAGAGGCTGCTAGCAGGTGAGTTGGAAGCAGTCCAAACGCAGCACGGCGCAGCTCAGAATTCAATGTACCATTACATTTCACAGAACACGAGGCCTGGCTTTTTATCAGATGAACCACAGCACAGAGCTGCAGATTTGAAATACTTCAGAGCTCTTTGAAACAAGTTCAAATCTTGGAAAGCCTGACTCATCCATTAATCTTTTGAAGCAAAGAAATTCAACAACATCCAGCAGACCGGGATTTTTTTAGTATTTTCTTTTTTTTTTTTTTTTTAGGCAAGATCCCCAAAGTCAAAGAATTTCCTGCTTTGAGTGGTTATTAGAGCATTATTTTTTTAAATTCACCCTTCCTCTAAAGGCTCAGCTTAGAGCCTCAAACCCAGAGTGATTTCCCAGCCACCCACCCAGAGGCTCCTTGGCATGAGGACAGCAAAGAGGATACATTTGGCTGTTGGAGCATATGGACATCATTGGGATGTGCAACAAAATTAACTAAAGCAGTACAGAGCTGACCTGGCATAAGAAACTGATCCTCCACTTTGATCTGACCTTCCTGCAAGAGATTCTTGTTTGATGTGGGGCCCCACAGCCAGCGAACGGCACAGCAGGGCCCCATCTGTGGACCCCGGGGCTGGGATTTGAGGTGTCACTTGATGTGACACACCCAAGCCCAGTGTCCCCGTCCCAGGGAAGAAAAGTGCCACCTGCTGGACTCCCCAGCAGCCTGGCCGGTGACAGGGACGGGAGCAGCTCAGCACCCTGACACAACTCAGAGCCCTTCTGAAACCCTGGACACCGATAGCTAAACCTCCTCCGATGTAAACATCTGAAAAACATCTGTTTAGGTCAGAACAACAACAACAACAACATGAATCCCAGCATCCTTGGAGATAGCAGGGAATGTCGACAAAGAGGAGGGAAGGGAAGCAGGGGGGATTCTGGGTGGTATTGGAGGTGGGTTTGGAATGGAAGGATAAAAGCAAGGACAGAGGGAAGAGAGTTCACATCTTGAAACTTCACTCCTCCCACGCTCCCACACTCCTGGCAACCATCCTACTGCAACAATGGTTCTACGTGGTTCCTCATCCCCAGGTGCTTTTGCTTTGTGTTTCCACCCAATCCCTTGACCCTGAATTGCTGCAGTGACGTGGTACAGATATAGTTCACCGTGACCTGAACCATGAGAACAAAGAACTGACGCTTGTTTACAAAATCTGGCCTTGGCATAGTGAGAAACTGCTCTCAGTAAACACCTGGGATAAAAAGGTTTTGAGAGACATCGAACTTGCTTTTTATTTCAGTGAGATTCCACTGGTAAACAAGAAAAGAAAACCCCAAGAACACAGGAGGGAAACAATAGCTAAAGCCATGAATCGTTCAATTCATCTGCGTGGGTGTTTTCATTCTCCCGGGGGTTTCAGGGCCTGTCTCACCAGCCTTCAAGTGCTGGCTCTGCTTTCTGCATTATCCCATGACAGTCACTCGGCAGTCCATTAGTACCCCCATCCCCACACATTCGGGGACATAAGGGAACAGAAATGGAGGAGGTCAGCGGAGGAAGGTTTGGGGAAGAGGACTGAAAACGTATCGGAGGTGATATGGTGGATTCTGATCAATTATGTCCTGTCTTGCACTTCCTTGACCCTCCACTGCACAACACGGTGAACACCAGGAAGTGACAAGGTGAGGACAAAAGGAGAAAGCGTGTTTTAACAAGAGGGATTAACATATAATGTGTCATTACCCAGGAGAAATCAACAACAAACTAACACTGATGGAACAGCAGTTGTGAGCTGGCAGAGCACAGTCTGTAGAAAATGACCAGAAAAGCTTGGTTGGCTTTACATATGTGGTTCTGTCCAGAGCAGGAAGGACCAGCTAAAGTCATATTGCAATTAACTTCTTGATCACGAGCAGGACAATATTGGAAGGGAAACCAACACCCCAAAGAACCTTTCTGATATGAGAGGTGGCACAATCACTAAATAAGCCTCATTTGCATCTAAACAATTTCCAGGAGCTGACACAAACTTAGCACAAAGGGTTTCCTGAATTAAGAAAGCAGGTTGTGACAAGGAAGGTAGAACCCCATCAATAATTTCTGAAGGACTTCAGTTCTTTCACACACACACACAAAAAGTAACATTTAAATTGAAAAGGAACCAGACGCCTCTAGACACATTTTGAGAGACTGTTTCCTAATCTGAGGGCTCATGTCCAAAGAGCTGCAATCAGAAGAAGCTCCTGCAAAAGTCATCTCTCCACCAGCTAAGACTAATCTGAGTTTCAATAAAATCAGTACCTACACCAATGAGAATGTTGCTATGCACCAACTAAAATTACAGCTAACTTTTCTCTTCTGGAACCCTACTTCCACATACTTAAACCTTTTGCTTTGCTGGAATGCACCTGTAATGTTTTCAGCCTGAGGCTTGTCTGGCATCAGGAACCAGACCAAGGTACAAAGCTGAGATATTGAGGGCACATACTGGAAGCACTGAGTTCAAACAGACTGATGAACTGCCTTCTGACAAGGCTGGAAACAAGTCTTGGGATCCCCAGATATTGAGACTCCGGAAGAGATCCCCACCTGGCACACACTAACATTACTCATAAATAAAAAGCAATTCCAGGAGGCCAGAGAAAGAGCCGAGAAACTCAGTCAGAGTTACAATTGTCTTGGAAGCCTTCTGAATAACAGCTGTTGTTTCCCACACTTGTGTGCCATTCTCACACTTGAGCCACTTGGTTCTGAACAGCTCCTTGCCACAGCCCTCTCCAAGGGAGGGGATGTCATGGCAGGGAAAGGAGAACAAAAAAACCCCGACTATAATTCAAAGCCCCACAGAAAGATGATCAAGTCAGAGGATCTTTTTAAATTATGTTTTGAAGGACAGGGGTGATCTTCACTTCCAATGACGTAGCACTGGGATCACTAACCCACCCTTCAATCCACAGGCACTACAGTTATAAAATCAGTGTGTTTGTGATTTTAAAGCAAGGAGTGTTTACATTCATAGAAGCCCTTGCTTTCTACTGCACCACACCTGCCACTGGAAGCTTCCATTGGAAAAACTTGCTATTTTATGGACTTTACCTGGATTTTTTAGGCTGGTAGCATGAGCCTGGACAGGAGCAAACTCCAGAATTGATAGATACAACACCCTTGGCTCCCAAAATTTCAGAGTTAACGTAGAGTGAAAGGAGCAGAGCTGCACAGTGCTGCAGCTGGACACTGCCAGGAGCAGCCTGACATCTCCATGCTCATGTACCACATACCTCTTCTGAGCTGGCTTAGGCAGGTGGGGAGGAATGTGTGCAAGGAGGTGCTGTGCTTCTTTTAGATCTCTCTCGGCAGCCTGCTGGAGCTCCTGAAATTAATGTGAGACTTCATCAGAGAGCTTAACCCACCGACGTCAGGCAAGTAAAGTCAGGGCAATACTAAATTAATTTTCAGCTTTATTAAGAGGTGTCCTTTGCTCCCTCCCTGTCATCTTGCCTCTTTACCCCATCATTTCCCAGCAGGAACTAGTAAAGCTCAGAGAAACAGAGCGGGGAGTGTCTGTCCTTGCCCTCCAAGTGCCTGAGAAATCTGAGCAGGCAAATGCAAATCTTTAACAATGCACAACTAGCAAGGTCTGAGTAGGGGAGTGGTGGTAGTGACGAAGAGATACCACAGCACACTCACCTACATTCCCCAAACAACCCATTCCACACACTAGAATAGATAAATATTCTAATTAAACAGTTTCTGTAGCTATTGGAAAGCTGTGTAAGTTGAACCGTTCTTTAGATCACAGTATCTATTACGATAAAAACATGGTTTTGAGGTCAGTGATAAAGACATGCTTCTAATGGCCCCCAACTGAAGGAGGGGAAGGTTTAGGTTAAGTACTAGAAAGAAATTCCTCCCTGTGAGGGTGGGGAGGCCCTGGCACAGGTTGCCTAGAGCAGCTGTGGCTGCCCTTGGACTTCTGGAAGTGTCCAAGGTCAGGATGGACGGGGCTTGGAGCAACCCAGGATAGTGGAAGGTGTCCCTGCCCATGGCAGGGGGTTGGAACAAGATAAGCTTTAAGGTCTCTTCCAACCCAAACCATTCTGTGATTCTATGATTCCATGTATAAACCTTGCAAAACAAAATTTTTAATGTTCTTTAGCTGGAGAACTGCTTAATAAGCCATCAGTAAGGCTGTTCCAAGCCCCAGTTTCTCTTCCAAGAATGTGCATCCAAACATACCACTGAGGATCTAGTAAAAAAACAACTACACACTTATCAAAGACTTCTTTGAATCTTGTAGTATTTTACGAACAAGAAAAAAAAATATTACTTGTAGCAAATGCTTCATTTTTTCCTGCTGATTAACTTCAGTTTCCATTTTATCCAGGAGAACATTCAAGAGGATCATATCTTTTCCTATTTTCTGGAGAAGACCTTTGAGGTGTTTTTCTTTACCTGTCAAAGAGAGAATGTTAAGCCACAAAACCTCCAACAAAAAAAAACCAACAAAATCCCGTTTCCCTCCCCTCCACAAGCAGTGATTACCTACTAACTCTACACTCCCCAGCTGCCATATCCTCCCACCCAGAAGCAGCAAGTCAAGCTGTCGTACTCCACACAGCCAACAGAGCTCATGGAATCATTCAGTTTGGAAAAGCCCTCTAAGACCACGGAGTCCAACTGTACCCCAGCACTGCCCAGGCCACCACTAACCCGTGTCCCCAGGTGCCACATCCACACGGCTTTTAACCCCCTCCTGGGATGGGGACACCCTGAGCAGCCTGTGCCAGGGCTGGACAACCCTTTCCATGAAGTAGTTGTTCCCAAGATCCAACCTAAACCCCCCTGGCACAATCTGAGGCCATTTCCCCTTGTCCCGTCACTTGTTTCCTGGCAGCAGAGCCCAAGATCCCCTCCTTCCCCAGCTCCTGTCAGGGAGTTGCAGAGCCAGAAGGTCCTTCCTGAGCCTCCTTTTCTCCAGGCTGAGCCCCCCAAGCTGCTCCAGACCCTTCCCCAGCTCCCTTCCGTTCTCCAGCCCCTCAGTGTTTTTCTTGAAGTGGGGTGCAAACCCAAACCCCACTGTTAATCTCATTTACCTATTTTTCTTAATTTAAAATATTTTTTAATATTTGAAATCTTCGTGTTGATGTGTAAGCAGAAATCTTCCATCACTGTGGATTCCGTATCCTCCATCATCCCACTGAAGGGCAACAAAAACAAAGGCAGGAATTTAAGAAAGGCCCAACCTGAAACACTGTGCACAAAAGCAAAGTTTTCAGAAGGACCCCGATCTGCCGAAGAAGCAAAGGGAACTTAAATGGAGCAGTAAATATTGTAATTCCCCTTTGTCTTACTGAATTCTGAAGGCAGGAGAGGAAGGACAAAGTGAGTGACATCAGACAATAAATTTCCCTGAACTCAGTGATCAGTGGTGTGTGTGATATCAGTGCAGCAATTCCTCATGAAACCGGGAACATCCTTATTATATTGAAGTGTCCACTAATCAAGGAGTTGGAAATTTACTGAAATAATCAAGAAGTACCTGCTTTATCCAAAGGAGTTCTTTAAGTCTCTCTCAAGGAGATTACATCAGTGATTAGTGTTTAAAAAAAAAAAAAAAAACAAAAGAAATTGTGTTAGCAGAGTATGGAGGCACAAAAAGAGCGTTATACATCGACTACAGTCTTTAGTAATAGAATCGTTAACCCTATTATAGACAATAGTTGATAAGGTTATAAAACGAGACAAAACCCTCGCATTTAGCACCGTGGCCGCTTGCACTGAGCGCTTACACAGCTCCCTCCGGCGGCTCGCACCTGGAAACGAAGCTTTCGCTTCTCTTTTACCTTAGAACACTGCCGAACTACCCGCGCTTTGCTAACTCGGCTGTCGGACAGCCGCCGCTCTTACGGCGCTCCATACCTGAGGGAAGCCGGCTTCCTGACGGGGAACGGGACGCCCTGAGGGGCGGCCGAGGTCACCCGCACACGCGGCGGCGGCGGCGCCCCTTTCTCCTTACGGCGCCCGGTCCCCAGCGCGAGCATTCCCGCGGCGCCAGCACCGCTCTCGGGGGCCGGAGAGGGATCAGGGGAGCGGCGGGGCCGGGAGGAGAGCGGCGGGGCCGGGGGGAGCGCGGCGGGGCGAGGGGAGCGCGGCGGGGCGAGGGGAGCGGGCGGCGCGGGCGGTGCCGTTCGAATCCGCCGCGCTCGGCGGGCGTTGGGCAGGGCCGGGGAGGGCGCGTGCGCGGCCGCGCCGAGCGGCGGGGAGGGAGGAGCGCGGAGGGGAAGGGCGGGAGCTCCGAGGGGAGCGGGAGCTCTCTGGACACGCGGCAGCTTAATTTGGAAAGGGCACACCGTTTGTTCTGCGCCGGGGTGCAAGGCGGAGCTCTCCACAAAACCCGCCAAAGCCTAAAAAGGTACTTCTATATAGTAAAAAAATACATGAATGCGCCCTCCTAATACATAGTCCCCGCCTGCCTTATGCATATTTATTTGGGTGATGTAATCTTAACGCGCTTGCTTGAAACACAGAAGTTCTTTCCTTCACTAAGCAACTGCTGTTGCAGAACTTATCTGACGCCATTAGTTACGTTTGCAAAAGGAAGTTCAGCCTGGGGACAGGACAATTCGATTGGAGCGGGAGGGGAGGGAAGGGAGCTCTCAGGCGGGAGGGCTGAGGGGGAAAGAGCGGAAGGCGGGAGGGCTGAGGGGAGAGAAGGGCGGGATCTCTGAGGGGAGCGGGAAGGGAGGTGAAGTCACTGAGGGAAGTGGGAAGGGAGGTGGGATGGCTGAGGGGAAGCAGGGAAGGAGGGAGGGGGCGAGAGGCTGAGGGAGCAGGCGGGAGAGGCTGAGGGGAAGCAGCTGAGGGAGGTGGGAGGGCAGGGAAGGGAGGCGGGAGGGCTGAGGGGAAGCAGGGAAGGGAGGCGGGAGGGCTGAGGGGAAGCAGCGAAGGGAGGCGGGAGGGCTGAGGGGAAGCAGCGAAGGGAGGCGGGAGGGCTGAGGGGAAGCAGGGAAGGGAGGCGGGAGGGCTGAGGGGAAGCAGGGAAGGGGGAGGGCCAGGAGGGCTGAGGGAAGCAAGGAAGGGAGGCAGGGAGGCGGAGGGTTGAGGGAAGCAAGGAAGGGAGGCAGGAGGCTGAGGGAAGCAGGGAAGGGAGGCGGGAGGGCTGAGGGGAAGCAAGGAAGGGAGGCGGGAGGCTCGAGGAAGAAGCAAGAAGGAGGCAGGAGGGCTGAGGGAAGCAGGAAGGGAGGCAGGAGGGCTGAGGAGAGCAAGGGCGAAGGGGAGGCGGGATGGCTGAGGGAATCAGGGAAGGGAGGCGGGATGGCTGAAGGAAGCAGGGAAGGGAGGCGGGAGGGCTGAGGCAGCCGTGAGGGGCGCCCGCTCCGGTTGCGCCCCAGAGACCTTTGCCCCCCGTTTTTTTACTCGATTACATAAATTCAGGAACCCGCCACGTTTTTTACTCGATTACATAAATTCAGTTTATTTCGGCATTCAACAGAAGAGAGAGCCCTCCATAAAAATTAAGTCAGTTTTCAACATATACATGGTCTGGTTCCCGTAGAACAACGTCACCCGTTGCATTTTTGTTTGGGTTTTTTTTTTTTTTCCTCGGGGTAGGGATGGAGATAATTGAACAACATAGACTTACCCCGAACTATTTTTTTCTAATTAACTACAAATATAAAGGTTTATTGGTAAGGACAGGCTGCTTCTCTCTCCAAGGGAAAACAAAACAAAACAAAACAAAACAACCAAAAGCAAAAATTGTGTTGCTTTTCCGCAATTCCTTGATTCAGAACAGCTGGTAGTTCCCCTCCCTCCCCAAACTTCCAAATCCTGAAGAGCTGATACACAGATTAACACAGAAACAAGTTAAAGAAGGACCACGTTAAAGCAAGGACCATGTTAAATCTATGCAGTGACTGCATCCAGCAGTCACTTTAAGGAGAAAGGAAAATGTGCGAATGCAGAGCTACAGCAGGTTATTGAAATTGCTCTGAAAAATAATGCATCTTTTAAACCTTTTTTAGTGGAGAAAGGTGGTCAAAGCTTCCATGGGGCAGTGAAAGCAGCACTAACGCCTCCAGCAGTCCCATCTACACAACCACATGGAGACAACGTGTCCTGTGACTCCCATCTTCCATGCTGGCTTCATCCCCAAAACTCAGGCAACTCCCACATTAAAGGGACTGACACAGTCTGTCTTTGTGTAGGCAAGCCATAAAAGCATCATAAAAGGAGACAAAAAAAATTTTTGATGTCAATAACTAAGAAACAGATAAAAATAAAAAATAAGGCAAATAGAGATGTTCTGAGCCCAGAAGCTCTGTACACACATCCCCTCCTAACCTGGGGTTGTTCACATTTGATAGCTGCTTCAAAAAACAACCCAAATGCCTGTTCTAGACTTTAAACGCAGGGTTGTCTTGCACTAACAACCTCGGCAGTAAACAGAATTACAACAAATGACTAAGAAAGGGGAAAAAAAAAAAAACAAACTGCACAACTGTACAGATACAGACAAAACATATTACAAATCCCCATGTCTGTGAAGAATAAGCCTGGCGTTCTAAAGTTTCTTTTGCTGTTTAAACCCCGCCAGGGGAGTGATCCGAGACTTGCGCAGGTAACTGAAACCCCTCCTGCAGTCTCCACCAGTTTAGTTATTAAAATCTAAAGTTTCTGCTGCACTTTTGTGTTTTCAGGGCAGAGGGAAGAAGGGCAGAAGAAAGTTTCCTTCTGGAGTTCTGGTGCTGTCTGAAGTCACAAATCCAAACCTGCCATAACCTTACAGAAAGCTGTGGTACGGTCCCGAGTCTACTTTATCATCAGGAAGCAAAAGAAAAATCGATCTTTGCCGTTTATTAAGCAAACACCCCTGAGTAAAGAGGCTGGTATCCACTTTCTTCTTTCTTGCAAGTCAGCACACAGACACTCAGCATGCCAAAGAACTGGAAAAGAGAGAGTGCACAAGATATTTAGTGCTGTGTTTGTTGTTTCAGTCACCTGACTCAACACCCCTATATTAGAGGACTCCATCATACTGAAAAAACACTTAAATGGCATTTTTGCATATCAGTTTCCAGTAATAGTTCCAGCCCAACATTTTTCTCCCTGGTTTCTCCCATTAATTTATACGTCCACATTAATTCCTAGTTATCATTCAGTGAAAGCCTTGGGACTATTCTGGACTTCAGATGAGTTCTGCAAAATATTTAGGCATGCCTTTGGACAAGGGCGTGGAGTGACAGCAAGAAGAGGAATGGCTTCCCAGTGCCAGAGGGCAGGTTTAGATGGGATACTGGGAAGGAATTCTTGGCTGTGCGGGTGGTGAGGCCCTGGCACAGGTTCTGTTGTGCTGCCCTGTCTCTGGAAGTGTTGAAGACCAAGTTGGACAGGGCTTGGAGCAACCTGGGCTAGTGGAAAGTGCCCCTGGCCATGGCAGGGGGTGGAACTGGAAGATCTTCAAGGTCCCTTCCAACCCAAACCATTCTATGGCATTATGATACATGGTTCTATGGATTCTCCATTTGCCATCCTGAATCTCCTCCTATCTTTTTGGGACCCTGCCCTCATTGTTAGGTAGATGAAATGGAGACAATTGGAAAAACAGGTGAGAAACAGAGGATTGAGTCTTACTTCAGAGCCAGAAAAAAGGCTGATGGGACATGGCAGAAGAAAAAGCCCCAAGATCAAAGGGCAGGCAGTACTATCTTCCATGAGGGAAGAGACAGAAACATTTACCTTTACAATGGCAAACCCCAGGATCACGAGCATGGCATAGCTGATAACGCTCTGCAGCCCAGACTCCAGCTCCTCTGCACAGCCCTGCCGGGAAAGAGGGGTGAAAACATATTAAATGATGGTAATTCAGCTGAACTTTTTTCTTTCTTTTCCTCCCCAACCCCTTAAAGGAAGCAGGGCCTTTTTAACCAACCACTACAGACCCGGGGGACTCTGTTCGTGTCTTCCAGACCTGATGGCTTGAGAAGAAGCACCGACAAATCACAATCCACTGACATTTGCTGCTTCCCGATCTCCTCCAGCTCAGGTCACTTAAGGAAGTGCCCAAAACCCACAGACAGGAAGACCAGCAATGGTATCTATAAAAGTCAACCTAGGGGCTTTGCCCCAGACTGAAAAAACGGGCTTGGAATTCATGGAATCACGGAATGGTTTGGGTTGGAAGGGACCTTAAAGATCATCCTGTTCCAACCCCCTGCCATGGGCAGGGACACCTTCCACTATCCCAGGTTGCTCCAAGCCCCGTCCAACCTGGCCTTGGACACTTCCAGGGATGGGGCACCCACAGCTTCTCTGGACAACCTGTGCCAGTGTTTCAGCACACTCATTGTAAAAAACTTCATCCTTATATCTAATCTAAATTGATCCTCTTTTAGTTTAAAACCATCACCCTTAGTCCTTTCACAACAGGCAGGCCCTGCTAAAATGTTTGATCTCATCTTCTTTACAGGCACTCTCTAGGCACAGGAAGGGGCTCCCAGGCCTCCCTGGAGCCTTCTCTTCTTCAGGCTGAACACCCCCAGCTCTCCCAGCCTGCCTCCACCGCAGAAGTGCTCCAGCCCTTGGAGCATCTTCATCCTCTGCATTCAGCACGGTCGATCCTACACGAGTCTCTTCCCCTGGCCCAGACAGCTGTGGGCACATCCCTAAAGCCTGACGTGCTTTCCTCCATGGTGAGAGTCACCATGGCCCAGCAGTGACCCCGAGGCCCTCATCCTCACCCGGGTGTTGAGCTCCTGTGGCTGATCCAGATGCCCAGTGCAGTTCTTCACACCCTCCTGGCAGCAGCTCAGAGGGACGCTGTTGTTCCCAGTGGAATTAAACCACTGTGTGGTCGTCCAGTCACTGTAGTTCTTCACCCCACAGCAGTGAAGCTGCCAAACACAGGGTAGTTACAGGGATGTATGAATATATATATTACATTTATTCATATATATATGAAGGTTCATGTTGAGTTAAACCTCTCTTAGGCACAGTGGGCCAGAGGTGCCCTTCGTATGCAGCAGATTTACAAGAAGCAGTGCTTCAGGAAAACAATCACAAATACAATAAATCAACCTCCTTTCACACATTATTACACCCTTCTTGGTTTACGCTTTGTGAAAGCTCCAATATGAAAGCGACAAGTCGCAGGACGGAGTCTTCCGTCACCTTTCTGTTTTATGGGGCAGTGTTCCCAGCAGCAGTTACTCATTTGTAGTGCTTATTTGGTCTGATCCAAATGCCACGATCACACCAGGAGCCTGAAAACACCACCTCTGCAAAGTGGGGAGCACCCTCAGATGCCTTGGAGAACCAGATGCTAAACACAGATCCGAGCTCCAGGATGCCACCACAGACAGCTCCTCCCCTCCTTTTCCAGCCTAAATTCCTTCTTTAGGACCCAACTGTTCTTTTCCAAGTAACTCCCAGGACGATTTAAACACTTTCTTACCTGTTCCTGCAAGTAATCCACAACTGTAGACTCTGGGTTTTTCCCATCGTACTGCTCAAAGACCGAGCGCATCGTGCCTTGAACATCAGTTTTTACCTATTTTAAGAAGAAAAAAAGGTGCAGATGGTTTTAACATGAGACGTAAGAGTTTTATCTGGTGGAAAATGCAAAAGAGGTCTGTGTCCCAACTAACTCGGAGGGGGAAATTTAAAAAAAGAAAAAACCCCAAAATAGATCAACAACAAAACAAATATCGAGCTATGTGTTAGATAAAGTTCAGGTAACAGTTAACCAGAATTATGCCTCCCCTGCTGGAACAGCCCTCCTTTTGGGAGCATCAACGACTGTTTAATCCAACTGAGAGACTGATGTGATGCCTGCCAGGTACTTTATGTATTTAGCACCCCCATTTCCACCTGCTCTGCAGGTTGCAGGATAGAGGATGAAGTACATGAAAACTGGATACATTAAAAATGATCTAACAATGCAAGATTTCTTCTTTACTTTTAGGTTGGGACAGAGATGCTAATTCTTTGCTTACCTTTTCCCTGTAAACAAATCCCAGGACAAAAGCGGATACCTCTGCGATAAAGATAAGCAGGATAATGGCCAAGAACTGAAAATACAAGAGAGAGACTGTAAGGAAGAATTCCACAGCATTTGAATTCAACTGAACATTACACTTCACATTAGTTTATGGCAGTAAGTTATTTGTTGGAGTAGGCAGTGGGTCTGCAGATCTCCTGATGAAGGATAGAGAGGTGGAGGATTTTGACTTAGACACTTTGAAGCCGTTTCCGTGAGGAATTCACAGGAGCAGTGAAAGATCTGAGAAGGTGCCAAAATTGACCAGTGAGAGAAGAATGTAAGGTGTGAATATCCAATCATGTGTAAGGGTTAATAATAGACCACAGATAGGGAGTTATTAATAGAAAGGTATGTAAGGGTCTGTTTGCAGAGTGTGTATAAGTAAGACTGAACTGAGCAATAAAGCAGACTTTTGGATCATCATCATACTGTGCCTGGCTTTTATTCTTTCAGCCGTCCCGACTACAACAGTTACTGTTACCTCTTGTTGCCTCTACAACCAAAGTAGTTTACAGAAAATGATTCGGAATAGAAGAAGCTGTGGCTGCCACATCCCTGGAAGTATTCAAGGCCACACTGGACGGGGCTTGGAGCAACCTGGTGTAGTGGAAGGTATCCCTGCCCATGGCAGGGCGTGGAACTGGATGATATTTAAGGTCCCTTCCAACTCAAACCTTTTCAAAACTCAGTGTTTTCCAGACTCACCTTCATCAGAGGCAGAGCCAGGAGACTGTCTATGGCAGGGGTATTGGTGTCACTAATAACTGAGCCTGTGCCTCCCACACCGTCAGTCAGTGCGTCACAGCGGTACACAACTCGCGCCAACGAGCAGAGCTTCAGTGGTACATGTCCTAATCGTGTTTCACTTTCTGTTTCGTGCACCCCAAGCTCTAGCCTACCACCTCCCACACCGTGCAGCGGGGTGAAGAAGAAGACACACAAGAACACGCAACACTCACCAGCCCCAGACCGACTCGAGACTCCCGGAACGTGGCACAGCAGCCAATGAGCCCAATGACGAACATCACCACAGCCACGCAGATGATGATCACGGCGGGCAGCACGGCGTACTTGTCCTGCAGAAAGTTGTCGTAGCTCTTGTAGGTGTTGATGACGTACGCCCCGACATAGCTCAGGCCTGCTGCTGCCGCCTGAAACGCAAGGGAAGGAAGTTATGAGCTGGTTTTCATTCAGCATCTGCCCAGGAAAGTAAACATGGACCGTTTTGTAACAGCGCAATTAATATAGCAACTACAGGAGTAGTGACTACAGTGTGCAAAGAGCCAGAAGGAAAAAAAATGCTGCGTCTGAAACTACCAACCAAGCTAGCTACCCATTCAAACTTGAACACAGAGAAGACAAAACTTCATTGATTGCTCCTCTACTTAATAAGTGACCTCTTTAGCCAAGCTGAAATGTTGGAGTCTATCAAGACGTATCAGACGACGTTTCTGCAGAAGGCCAAGCTCAAACTGCCTACCCAAGGCCACCTCCATCCCACCCAATGCTGCATTTGCAGGAATCAGCTGACAGGATCACAGAAGCATTTCGGTTGGAAAAGCCCTCCAAGGGCATCGAGTCCAACCTGTGACTGATCCCCACCTTGTCACCCAGCCCCACTGAGTGCCACGTCCAGTTGTCCCTTGGTTACCTTCAGGGGGATTGGTTGTTGATTTGGGGCTTTTTTTTTTTTTTTTTGAGAGACAAACTTATCTTTCCCACTCTCTCAACAGCATTAACCACTAAGGCAGGCACAAATGTTCCTGGTCTCAGCAAAACACGGTCCCTCCTTGTCTTGGAGGAAACAGATTTCTGCAGCCTCTAAATTAATCTCTCCCCAATAAGGATGTTTTGCTGATTGAGGCCAATGCACACCAGTGACACCCTGGAGACTGAAGACTTTTATCCACAGTACAGGCCTGGAAATAACACTGAAAGACTCAGCCATGCCCTGCCAAACCTCATCAATGGCATAAAAAAGCCTCTCAAGAGTTAGGAAAGCCCATCTACCCTCTATAATCCTGCACCACAAGTAAAATGAAGCACCATCCATATTCAACATTCTGGAAACTTGAGGGAAACCAGTCTGCTTGTTTTCAACAGGCCACAGCAGGATTTCATCATCCAGCTCTGGAACAGTTCATTACTTCCACAGCACTGTACCTTCTAATTAAATCAAACACTCCTCATGCTGGAGCAAGGACTAATTCCTTTACCTAGTTTAGCTCTTTCCCCTCGAGCCTGGTCTCCTGCCTGCCCTTCAATTACCTCCAAGTGCAGGAACATCCTTTGTTTCAGACAGCTCCCATCCCTCATGTCGCATTCCTGGGTGATGCCTGTACCTCAGAATTACTGGGATCGTATGCACCAAGTGGTGAAACCAGGACCAAACTAACCCTTAGAGACATTTAGTAATGCCCTGCAAGATCCTGCTGTGCTGGGGCTCATGAAGCAGGTCATGAATTCATGAATATTCACAAAGAATATCAGGAAAAGGAATAGCATCACCAGTTCTCTTTTTGTTTTTCTTCTCTACATGCACTGAGTTTTCAGGTGGTGCTAATGATTAAAGCAGTTCCTAAAACTTCCTCTCATTGAGGAAAATCTTTCCCATTTCCTTGTCTGCAGGTGTAGAGCAACCCAGGCTTCTTCCTCCCACCCCGTTTTAGGGATGCAGAGAAAAGGTGAAACCACTTTTCCTCAAAAGGCACTGCTGCTTTCTCACTTCCCCAGAGGAGTGAGGTGCCCAGGAGGAGCAGCCTCAGCTTCTCCTCCTCCAGCACTGTGTTCCTGAACTCAAAAGTGGCAGCAGCACAAAAGGTGGGGTTGGGGACAAAGCACCTCCATCCTGCTTGGCCTTCAGTTGCACAAAAAGAGCAAAGTGTACCCTGTGTTTCTGGCCTAGAGGGCTGGATGCACATCCACCTATTCTCTGTTCTGAATTAGCACTGTCTGGGCAAGGACAGCCACAGAGAAGGAAGCAAAGTTGCTTCTCCAGGTAACCTGTGCCAGGGCCTCACCAGCCTCACAGACAACAATTCCTTCCCAACATCCCATCTAACCCTGTCCTCTGGCACTGGGAAGCCATTCCCTGTGTCCTGTCCCTCCATCCCTTGTTCTCAGTCGCTCTCCAGCTCTCCTGGAGCCCCTTTAGGCCCTGCAAGGGGCTCTCAGGTCTCCCTGGAGCCTTCTCTTCTCCAGGGGAACCCCCCCAGCTCTCCCAGCCTGGCTCCAGAGCAGAGGGGCTCCAGCCCTGGCAGCATCTCCGTGGCCTCCTCTGGACTTGCTCCAGCAGCTCCACATCCTGTGCCCCAGAGCTCCTCCACCATGATCACAGACACAACATGGTGATGCTTCCAGCCACTGTGCTTGCACCCCAAAATCATAGGAAAGGCAGCACAGACTGAACCAGCTGGGGTACAAAATGGCATAAACCATGTTTTTGGCAAGTAAATCAGTCATCTGCATTCAGGAGCAGCATCACGTCAAAAGGTGCACAACTAAACCGCCTGTGACTTCGTGATTGTGTAAACATGCAGAGTGTTCATCTTCAGAGAATGTACAGCCCTGCTCTTCTGCAAACCTCTGATCCCGGCCTCCGCAAGTAGTTTTGTACTTATAAAGACAGTTTGCTCCATAATTTAATCTTCCTATGGCACGTCTGACAGAAAATAATCCCCCAATATTTCCATTATCCCTCTGCAAGCAATTAAGACAACAGGCACATTCTTCATCTCTCATCCACACTCCCCATTTTCTACCCATTTCCAGCGTGCTCAACACGCAGTGCAAAGGAAGCAGTGCAGGAAATGCTAAAGACAGACCAACTGTGGGGAACTGAGGAAAAACGTGTTGCAAGTAAAGTTTGCTACCACAAATTAAAAAAAAAAAATAATTATTGTGAAGCCAATTCACAGGAGTCCCCTAAAGCCAGGACTAGCAAAGCTCCATGACAGCCATCAAACATCACGGGGTCCAGTGCTGAGTTCAAGGACATCAAATTAAAGCACTTTCACAGCAGGTTTTATTGCAATACTCAGGATTGCCTGGTTTCTGCCCAGAGACAAAACGCAGTAGCAAGAGGTCTTCCCAAACTTCTGCTTCCAAGCAGAAAAAGGAAGTGGGCTCAGGTAAAAACAGAAGACTTTGGGTAAAAATCTGACTTATAGCAAGCTGACATTTTCCCCCCACAAACTGAGGTACAGCCACAACTTCACCCATGGCTTTTAATTCAAAGTGATGAACTCTGAACTCTGAAGAGCAGGGTCACTCAGGAGTGGAAGGCATTGCCGAGCATGATCTGTTCCCCGATTTGTTTTTGCAGATGAGTCCCAGAGATTAACTTTGAAAGCAAAGATGAAAAATACATCAGAATGTAAGTCAGAACTCTCTCCTCAAGCCTTCCCAGTACTTAAGGCAGGTTCAAAATCTGGTGGAGGGTTTTTTCAGCTCTACATCACAAGACCTTCAGCCCAATCCTGGAGCTAAGACAAAGCTTCTCTAGAAGAGAAGCACAACAAGAAATGTCCATTGCACTGCTGAGCATAGACCTTGACTGAAAATTGTAAAGTACACCTGATTAAACAGGTCTCTGTTGGATTCTCAAGGGAAAAATAAAAAAACAATCTCACAAACACTAAGGCCAGTTTGATCAGCAACTTTTGAGGAGGAAGAGATCAAATATCTCCCTCTTCATGATCAGTCAAACACGTTTTCAAACAACATCATCATACAAGGTTGCCACGATTACTCCAAGAAATTCACACTAGAAATTGTCATTTTTGGCTGTGTTTCAGAGGAGTTCAGTGCAGAGCAGGATCGCGCAGGGCAGGGGTGAGGCTCAGCCCAGGGCAGCCAAGCAGTGAGGCAGGGCGAGTGTGGGAGAACCAGTTCCCCTGCTCCACCAACGGCAAGCAGAACACGCAGACCCGACCCCTTCCTCCCCAGACTGCCCCAGCTGACTCATCAGGGACCCCGGAAACGCTGCTGGTGCTTGATTATAATGCTGGTGACTCCCTTGAGACAAGATGAAGGGGAAGGGGGAAATTTTGCAAGGAAACCCCCTTTCCACAGCTGAGCGGCAAAGCTGCGGCCGCCTCTGCTGCCTCACCCACCGCAGCTCCCACCCTTCAGGGACCTAGCACCAGAACTTCTGATACCCCATGCCCTTGACAGAAAGCAGGGGAACTACTTCAGTGGGAAAAATGGACTCCTTGGGGATGAGTGGAAAGAAAGCAAAGCCGTAACAACCAGGTTTTCCCAGGCTGGTGTTCGGGCAGGACCTGGGCTCGCCACGCTGACTTCACACACCTTTCCCCATACTCAACCCAGCCGGCTGTGCCAGGTATACACAGGTACATAAACAACAACCTGGAGCTCTCTCCAGCCACCTGATGCACAAACAGCACCAGGAATATTCAATCTCACCCATGAAACAGAGTGGGACAGGATGGTTACGAGAAGTCTGGGCTGTCTCACTGATAAAGAACAGAACAGCACAGCCACTGGAAAATAGTAGATTTTATATATTTTTAAAGCACAACAAGACTTCTACTTTGTGTTCCACTGTTTCTACATGCTGATGACCACAAGCACCTGCCTTTCTGGAGATCTATGGCCACGCAAATACTTCACAACACCTTATCACTGTCACAGCCATAGAAGGGGCCCCTTAAAATTCCCTCTGAAGTAGAAAAAATATTTTTTTATATATATATATACACATAAAATTTGCATCTCTCAGTCAGGCAGAACAGATACTTTTCCACTTTCCCTTATTTGTTTTAATAAGCCAACCACATGTGATGGTTGAGAACAGAGGTTTGTGCTCGTTTGCAGCTATCAGCACAGGCCTCTTTGTCCCCTGCCAAACCCAGATAAAACACAGCAAAGGGGCCAAACTACTAACTATGAAGTGAAAAGGCAGTGTCTGTTGGTTGGAGGTTTTGTGGGGTTTTTTTAAAGGTTTCTCCCACTATCTTCCAATTTCAGAGTGTTGATTCTGTGACTTGGCTGCTACTGTGGACCAGTGTAAGACTTCCTTTTTAAAAGACTGGTCAGTTAAAAATACAGAGTAACAAAGCTGTACTGTTAAAAGGAGGAGAAGTTAAGAACTGCCTGAATTCCAAATTCACCCTGTGTGTCCAGCAAG